ATGGGCCTCTTAGGGTGAGCTGGGGGACGTTTCTACTTGGTCGACTTTTGGGAAGTACTGGTGAAGAGTTAGTATTAGTTGTTCTTTGACTATTTCATGGACTTCACCAGTGAAGCTGTCTTGACCCGCAGTTAGGATCTTATTCTGGACAGGTTTTGGTGCCATCACTAATTTGCTTTTGACCTTGGACCATCCACTTGCTGTCTCTCTGCTGTACCTTCCTCCTTTGAATATATGTCTTCCAACTTGATGATTCTCAGTTTCTCTGAGATCCGAGCCGAGCAAGCCTATTAAAATTTTCAGATAAAGAACAACAACTAATATGCAATCATATATCTCCCCTCCCAGCTTCCCAGCCCTGTGAACTTTGCCTTTTCTAAAGGTCCAATGATCATAATCGTCCTTCCAAGATGATATAGAGAAATGAATGTAAAAATAGGCCTTAAAGGCTTTGCAAACTGAAATGAGGTTCAATGATTCACAGGTTCAATATTTGTGAATTCATCTACTCATTAAAATGTATTTGTAACCCTAAAGCCAATACACACAGCATTCTGCCAATCATTTGCAGATATGATACAGAGCACTGAAAATTTGGGTTCCTTGACACAGTGTTTTCAACTGAGGTCAAGTACAACTCTGCCTGAACTTATTTCAGCGTCTCACATGAATAAACAAGTTTGTTGTAGTTGTTTTCCGCGTTTTTTGCATTTTGAGTATTATTATGGTGGAGTTGCTGTTTAAAATGGCCCTAAGCATTGTGTTGAAGTGCTGTCGCGGACTCTTAAGTGTAAGAAGATTGTGATGTGCCTTAGGGAGAAAATATATATGCCTAGGCAAACTTTATTCATGCATGAGTCACAGTGCTACTGGCTGGGAGTTCAGTGATCATGGATCGAAAATACAGTTGACCTTGAATCGCTTGGGCTTGAACTTAAACATGGGTTTATATTTAAAGTGCTGTATGATGCAAATCACCTCCACATGAGCAATTTATCTCCTCAGGTTAAATTGCCTATCACTGTAAAAAGTCATGCATCACGGTTCTCACACAGGTCATCATGTTTAGGGCAATACTGTAAACTTTGAAGAACACTATGGAGTCCCTATGAAGTTCCACTAATGGCCCTACAAGTGCTTCCCGAAAGCAGATAAAAATCATGACGTTGCAATAAAAACTTGAACTCCCTGATGTGTCCTGTAGCTCTAGGTCTGCAGATGTGGTTGCCCGTCATTTTGACATAAACGGATTCAGTGTAAGGACCACTGGAAACAAGGAAAAAGAGAAACGCATGAAGCGTTCACTGCAGCTATGCCAGCAAACATGAAAGCCTTGTGGTTTGGGGGAAAGATCTTTCTGTCTCCTACTGAACTACAGCTTTCCTGTGGGTGCAGGATATCATACATGTAATATACAAATACATGCTAAGCAGCTTTATATTATTGGTAAGACTTTTGGTCTCAATTTGGAGGAAGTCAAAATTATATAGGCAGATTTTCAACTCTCTGTGTCTGTGGACCAGGTGCCCCTAACCTCAGCATTGATCACAGACCAAGTGTATATATTAAATCAGGTGTTATTAAACAGAAACATCATAAAGGATAGTTAGGAGTTGATCAGCTGATGAACATGTTGTGACCTGAGGCTCACTAGAACCCAACCCTGTATTCCCCAAAGAGAAATGCTTTAGTATTTGCGATGACTTTACAGAACATTATGGCCACCAGTGCTGGGAATTGGTTGCATTTATACCAGTATCTGCCTTCGTTCTTTATCTCATGCTATGTCATGTCATTGTTGCCCATTTCCCCCACAACACTACTCAAGTGTGTCCTCTCCAAGTGGGACCTGGCTGTAATGATCTACCCTTACATTGAATAGCTTTGGGTGCACCTGGCCCTGTGCTAAATACCATGTAGGTGTGTGTACACCTCTATGAGTTAGGGGCCAGCATCTCTCCCACTCCACACATGGGACCATAGAGACACAGAGTGTAGACAACATGTCCTTGGAGCTCTGTCCGTGGTACTTATTCTTTCCTGAGGCTTATCCCTCAGCTGGGCCTTGAAATTGATGTGTGTGTGCATGCACCAGTGTACACACATGTAATGAGCTACTGAAAACAAAGCACTGGACCCTGGAACACACAATTCTCAATGAATTTGAGTTACTATGAAAGCTTGGAGCTTATATTTTTAGTATTTATTGTTTTAATTAGGGTGTTCCATTTAATAAAGTGCACAAATTTTAATTGCAGAGCTAGATCAATTATTGCATGTGTGTACATGCATGAAACCACCACCCAGGTGAAGATAATGGACATATCTAGCTCTCCAGCGTGCTTCCCCATGCTGCTTCCTAGCCAAATCCTCATGATAACAACCCACTAGCCATGATGACTCGTGATGCCTATCTATTTATTGGCTATCTGATGTCTTCTGTATGGTCACTGCCTACGTCTTTTGCCTATTTAAAAAATTGGGATATCTATCTTTTTCTTATATGATGTTTTCATTTTTTGCATATTTTTTCTTATATGCATTGTTAACACCTTTTCTCAAACTGTCTTGTTCAAGAAGTCTTTGTAATTGACTAACCTCACACAGCATAATGATCCCCAGGACCAACCGTGTCAGTGCTTCGTGGTTTTGTCATTGTGTTTTAGCAAGGCATAGTATTCCATTGTGTATCGATACCAAAGTTTTCCTTATCAGTTCCTTCACTGATGGGCATTTAGCTTATTTCCATCTTCCTGCTATTGTGAACAGTGCGGGGATGAACGTGAATATGCATTTGTCTGTTCCTATTGTGATTCTTAATACTTTAAGATATCGACCCAGTACAGGGATGGCACGGAATTTCTACTCTCAGTTGGTTAAGGTAATGCCATATTGCTTTCCGCAGTGGTTATGCACATGTACAGTAATTAATGTTTCCAATATCTCCACAGCTTCACTAGCATTGATTTTATTCTTTCTAACGGGCTGCCATTGTTGATGTAAAGTGATATCTAATAGTCGTTGTGATTTGCACCTCCCAGATGACTAGTGACCGTGAGCATTTCTTGATATGCTTGTTGCCCATTTGGATGTTGTTTTTGGTAAACTATGTTTCTGTCCTTTGCCCACTTTTTTCCCCTCATCGATTTCCACTTTATTTATTTATTTTTTAAATTAATAAATCATTGTATTGAGGACTCTTACAGCTCTTATCACAATCTATGTATACATCCATTGTGTCAAGCACATTTGTACATATGTTACCATCATCATTTTCAAAAAATTTTCTTTCTACTTGAGCCCTTGGTATCAACTCATTTCCCCCCTCCCCCGCCCTCCCTCCATCATGAACCCTTGATAATGTATAAATTAATATTGTTTTTTCATGTCTTACACTGACCGCTGTCTCCCTTCACCCACTTTTCTTTTGTCTGTCCTCCTGGGAGGGGATTACATGTAAATCATTGTGATTGGTTCCCCTTTTCTCCCCTACCTTCTTCTTCACCTCCTGGTATTTTTACTTTCATTATTGGACCTGAGGGGTTTATCTGTCCTGGATTCCCTGTGTTTCGAGCTCTGATCTATACTAGTGTACATGCTCTGATCTAGCTGAATTTGTAAGGTAGAATTGGGGTCATGATAGTGGGGTAGTGTGGAGAAGCATTTAAGAACTAGAGCAGTGGTTCTCAACCTTCCTAATGCCGCGACCCTTTAATAGAGTTCCTCATGTTGTGGTGAAACCCCAATCAGAAAATTATTTTTGTTGCTACATCATAACTGTAATTTTGTTACTGTTATGAATCTGGAGACCCCTGTGAAAGGGTCATTCAACCCCCAAAGGGGTCACGACCCACAGGTTGAGAACTGCTGAACTAGAGGAAAGTTGTATGTTTCATCAGTGCTATACTGCACCCTGACTGGCTCGTCTCTTCCTTGTGACCCTTCTGTAAGGGGATGTCCAGTTGTCTACAGATGGGCTTCGGCTCTCCCCTTCGCCTTCCCCCTCATTCACATCGATATGATTTTTTGTTCTGGGTCTTTGATGCCTGGTACCTGATCCCACTGACACATCATGATCACACAGGCTGGTGTGCTTTTTTTAAATTTAAATTTTAATTAATTTATTTTTAAAATCATTTTATTGGGGACTCGTACAGCTCTTATCACAATCCATACATACATCCATTGTGTCAAGCACATTTGTACATTTGTTGCCATCATCATTCTCAAAACATTTGCTTTCTGCTTGAGCCCTTGGTATCAGCTCCTCATTTTCCCCCTCATTCCCCGCTCCCCTCTCCCTCATGAACCCTTGATAACTTATAAATTATTATTATTTTGTCATATCTTACACTGTCTGACGTCTCCCTTTACCCACTTTTCTGTTGTCCATCCCCCAGGGAGGAGGTTATAGGTAGACCCTTGTAATTGGTTCCCACCCCTTCCCACCACACCCTCCCTCTAACCTCTTGGTATCCCCACTTTCAGCACTGGTCCTGAAGGGATCATCTGTCCTGGATTCCCTGTGTTTCCAGTTCCTATCTGTACCAGTGTACATCCTCTGTTCTAGCCAGATTTGTAAGGTAGAATTGGGATCATGATAGGGGAGGAAGCATTTAGGAACTAGAGGAAAGCTGTATGTTTCATCGTTGTTACACTGTGCCCTAACTGGCTCGTCTTCTCCCCATGACCCTTCTGTAAGGGGATGTCCACTTGCCTACGATAGGTCTTGGGCCCCCAGTCTGCACTGCCCTTCATTCACAATGATTTGATTTTTTGTTCTTTGATGCTTGATAGATGATCCCTTCAACACCTCATGATCACACAGGCTGGTTGGTGTGCTTCTTCCATGTGGGCTTTGTTGCTTCTGAGCTAGATGGCCACTTGTTTACCTTCAAGCCTTTAAAACCCCAGACGCTATATCTTTTGATAGCCAGACACCATCAGCTTTCTTCACATTTGCTTATACACCCATTTTTTGGTTTGTTTGTTTGTTTTTTCAGGGGAGAGCGCAAATGCAGCCCCCCACTGCCAGAAATTATGCAGTCGAGTTTCCCACATTTGGGGAAATTGCAGGGGTCAGCACATCCGGAGTGTAATGAATAAGCCTGGCCCTGGGAATATACACCCATTTTGTCATCAGCATTCATGTCAGGAAGGTGAGCATCACAGAATGCTGGCTTACTAGAACAAAGTGTTCTTGTGTTAAGAGAGTACTTGAGTAGAGGCCCAATGTCTGCTGCCTTAATACTTAAGAAATAAATATATGTACATAGGTATATTGCCCTATCGTTATATAAATATATTTACATATGTACATGCCTGTGTTTAGACCTCTATAAATATTCTTTGCCTCCTAGTTCTTGCTTCTATTTCCTTTTACTTTCCTCTTGTTCCATTATCATGCTTGACTTTCATTCAGGTTTCGGTAATTCCTCTCGGCTATATTGTCCTTGTTAAAGCACCACCAGGCATCCTACAACCTCCTCGCCATTGATTTTAGATCACTGTTGTTCCCTTGTCCCTGGGTTTGTTGGCACCCTCCCCTTCCTTTCCCCCACCTGCCCCTCTCCCATGTCCCCCAGAACCATCATTCCCATTGTTTTCTCCTCCGGATTGTTTATCTGGCCTATCTTATCTAGATAGACACGCAGAGACAATAAAAAGCACAAAAATGAGACAAAATAAAACAAAACACCAACAGCAAAACCAACAATAATAAAAGGAAAGACTAAATAGTTTCAAGTCTGTTGAACTTTATGAGTGTTTTCTGGTCAAGTCTGATGGAGTGCTCTGCCCTGGCCCCAAAGTCTATTTTTGGTATTTCTCAGGGACTTCATTGCTTTGCTCCCCTTGCTGCTCTGTTGCATGCTCTTAGTGTTTCACCTGGTGTGGTGGGGTCACATCAGGCAAACTTGTCTCCACTGTTGTCCCCATAGTGCTATGGGTCAGTGAGGGATATTGTGTCTTATGGTGGGGCTGGCCCTGTGGTCCTCTCTGTGCATTGGCTGCTCTGAGCAGCATTATTGGATGTGTTCTACTTTCTCCCCTTCCCTCTTTCTTTGCTCCTGTGTGCTCTGATCAAAAGTGCCCCTCTCCCTGAACTTTAGCTTCAGTGCTGTCCTCTGAAGTGCATTCTTCTGGGGAGCTGGGGCAGGGGGTGTTGTCAGTGTAGTTGGGATTTGGGCCGGCCCCTGATTTATTTTTGTTGTCTGACAGCTCAGGCTAAGACCTCCAGCACAATGTTGAATAAGATAGGTGTTAAGGGATATCATCTCCGTTTCAAGTTTGTAAAGGGAATGCCTTCAGTTTCTCGCCCTTGGGCAAGATGTGGGTTTTGCACATGTAACCTATTGTGTTGAAATATTTCCCTTCTATTCCTATTTTGCCACATATGCGTGTTTTTTTTAAAATCAAATGCCTTTGTTGCATTGATTGATATGACCAAGTAGTTTTCTTTTGTTTATATTATAGATAGCATGGATTTTTCCCTCCTAATGTTGAACCATCCTTAAGTACCTGGTATGAAGTCCATGTGGTCATGCTATATCTATAGATATTGATATATTGTTGTGTTTTGGCCAGCAGTTTTTGAGAATTTTTAATCTATGTTCATGAGCACTATTTGGTCTGTAGCTCTTTAGCCTGGTTTTGGTGTCAGGGTTAAGTTCATGTCGTAATATGAGTTTGTTGTCCTTTGTGGCATTCTGGAATAATTTGTGTCAGCTCTTCTTTGAATGCTTGGTAGAATTCCCCAGTGAAGCCTTTGTTGTGGTGGTTGGAATTTTTTTAATGACTTGGTCTATTTCTCCTTTTGTGAAGTGTCTGTTGAGCTTTTCTGCACCAATTTGCTTTCATTGGGTACAATGAATTTGTCCAATTCATCTAGTGTTTTAGAGTTTGTTGGATTATACTCTTTTGTAGTAATGTGTTATTGTAAAAATTTCATTTGGGTCTGTTGAGATGTCACCCTTTTCATCTCTTATTCTTATTATTCTATTTTTCCCTTTGTTGAGATTGCCAGTGGTTTGTCAGCTTTGTCAGTTCTTTGTCAATTTTTAAAATTCTTTTTTACAATCAACTTCTTGTCTTATTTTTATATTATTTTGTTTCCCTATTAATTTACTTCTGCTCTAATTTTCGTGGTTTCTTTTCTTCTGGTGACTGAAGGCTTTCTTTGTTTCTCTTGTTCTCCTTGTTGAAGGTGCCAAGTGAAAATGCTGGTTTGGTTTTCTCTTCTTTTGGTCGGACGGTGCTTATGGCTGTGAACTGCCCTCTGAATACTACTTTTGCTCTGTTGTGTTTTCATTTTCATTTGATTCAAGAAGTTTTTTAATTTCATTAATTACCCACTAAATTTTTAAGCATTTTGTTGTATAGTTTCCATGCATTTGCTTTTTTTGTCCTTTCTCTTCTTGTTATCGTCAAGCTTACTAATTCAGGTTTCCATTTATTCAGTTCTATTAATCTATTATTGTAAAGTGTTGTCTAATTCTGTAGCCTTAGTATTAATCTTCTGGATTTCTAGTTGATATTTTTGTTGTACAGTTTCTAGTTCTTATACTTTCCATTGTTTTCTCCAACTCTTCCCCATTCTTGACCATCATTCTTCTGAATTTGTCGTCCAGTAGTTCCAAAGCCTTTTCTTCCTTAGCAAAATTCCTTTTGATCTGGGTGTTGTTTGATCATGTGTTTGTGCCTGCTTTTCTTGTGGACCAAGAATAACTGCTATTTTAGGACATA